AAGTCCCTCCCCTCCCCAAACCCCGCCCTCCTCAGGCTCCACCCCCCAAATCTCCAGATATTTCCCAACCTGCATCTGGCAATCCTCGGTGGATATGATTTCAGTCATATTGGCTGACGGGACTTGGACAAAACTCGGATATAGACTACAACACAGAAGGATGCAACTACATTGGAGGAAGAACCTCCTCATGGTGAGGTGTGTTCAACTCTAGAGCAGTCTCCCTTGTGAGATGACAGATTCTTTGCCATCATTTGGATCCCTGCTTGGCAGGATATTAGAACTGTAGTTCCTGCGTTGGCAGGGGGTTGGACTAGATGACCCTGGTGGTCCCTTCCAGCTCTTGAGATCAAATTAAATCAAAATTCCTTGTAACTATGTCCCTTTAAGGTGCATGGAACAGCCCGCAAAAAGTAAGCATGAGCCAACTGGGTGTGGTTAAAGGAGGCCGGGGTTGCTACAAACCCCTGCCTGGGGATTGGGGATGACAGCCTCCAGTTTCGACCTGGAGATCCTCCAGAATTACAGCTCGTCTCCAGACTATGGACATCAGTTGCCCCGGAGAAAATGGATGCTCCAGAGGGTGGACTCTACGGCACTGTACCTCACTGAGGTCCCTGTCCTTCTCAGGTGCCACCCCCAAATCTCCAGGAATTTCTCAACCTGGACCTGGCAACCCCACCCCCCTCCGGAGGCCAGGGGGGACCTGACAACCCTGTACCAGGGACCTTTTCCTTTCCCTGAGTGGTACCCCCCATCGGCTCGGAGCTTCCTTAAATCTGCGGAATTATTTTGGACAGTCTCAATTAATGGGCATGTGAGCTTGAGTCACTCAGATAATATTTCGATGCTGGGAACCCGATGTGCGGCCTGGCTCAGCCAGGGCGGCTTGCATATCATAACAACCGAGGGCAGGGTGCCTGCTGCCGCCAGCTTTCCAGGCCGGTGCAGACATGCGCCAAGCCAACCCCCGGAGGAAGAGCGAGGGCGTGTGTGTGTGGCGATGGTGGCACAGTGTTCTTTGTGTCCTAGGCAGGAGTCCGGACTGGGCAGCCCCTACTTGGGCTGGGTCCTATTAATCTGCCTCTTCATTGCACGGCGAAATGCTTGTGGGCTTCTTTTCAGCACCTTTTAGGAAAGGAACCAGGACTCTGACTTCATTACCTGTGAAAACTGTGGGCTGATTTGGTTGATTCTTGCACTGTTTCTTGTACAGATTGTGATCTCTGAATTGCACGGTTTTCTGATTTTGTAATCCAGTTTTCTGGGGGTTGCGTCAGGGTTGCACGTCCCCCCCCCCATAGCTCCCAATCCAAAACAGTCCCGTGGAGCCTGAGCGGTGGGTGTTGCCTTCTGACACACTTCCAGTGATGCCAGGGGGCGTGGTATATGCAAATAAGTTATGCTAATGAGCTCTGCTAATGAGCTCCTGCACCTCTTTTTCTATGAAATGACCCCTAGCAAGTTAACCTTTTTTTGAAGCTAATCTGTTCACAATCAGTTCAACGTCCCTACATGTATCGGTCATGTAAGACGTGCTTCTCTTTTGGGGAGTAAAATTTCTCTTGTTATCCTTGGAGTTAGATTATCTCTCTCTGTTTACCTTGTTTGTTGTCAAAACCCAGGGCTTTTTTGTAGCAGGAACTTCTTTGCATTTTAGGCCACACACCCCTAATGTAGCCAATCCGAATGAGTTTCTGCTGTTGAGTGTGGCCTATTATGCTAATGAGTTCCTGCTGGGCGTGGCCAACTCAGGAGCCAGCCAGAACTCCGTTCCTGTGCGTTCCTGCCCAAAAATAGCCCTGATGGGTACACACTGATAACCATTGGGTCTCTTATGCATGTGTCCAGAGCCATCAGTTCACAGCCGGTTTATGGTGACCCTGTACATAAGAACATAAAGTCAGAAGAGAAGCCAATGTTGGATCAGGCCACTGGCCCATCCAGTCCAACGCTCTGTCACAGAAAGGCTAAAAATACCAGGTGCCATCAGGAGGTCCAGCAGTGGGGCCAGGACACTAGGAGCCCTCCCACTGTTGCCCCCCCTCAGCACCAAGAATACAGAGCATCACTTGCCCCAGCGTTCCTATCTATACCTTGTGGCTAACAGCCACTGATGGACCTCTGCTCCACATGTTTGTCTAATTCCCTCTTGAAGCCGTCCATGCTTGTAGGTTTTTCATGTTTCTAAGACTAAGGCAGAGATTACTTGATTAATTTTGCTCTTTTGGTGGTGTTATTCTTTGACACGGTTCTCTTGTCTTACCTGGACTGTATGACTCCCATCTTGTTTTTATTTCTGCAAGACTATTTCTGCATTTTATTACCTTTTATGCCATTAGAGGTTTCTGAAACGGAACCAAAGTTTTTCAAGGGAAGAGACCTTCCGAGGTGATTTGCCATGGCCTGCCTCTCCGTGGCCCAACCTCAGTATCCCTAGGCCGTCTCCCATCCAAATACTAACCAGGGCTGACCCTGCTTAGTTTCGGAGATCTGGCAAGATCAGGCTAACCTGGGCCACGAGCCACCTGTTTTTCCAAAGTGATTCAAAATTTTAAAAATCTATTTTAAAATACATCTCAGTGGAAGGGAGGAGGCCGCTATTAAAATTCCTCTGGATAACTGCACGAAAAAGGCGTCTGCTACCCAAACACTTGGGCGGACTAGGACTCCAGGTGGGGGGTGGGGAGGAGCACAACCCATTGCTCTGTAAAAGCAACTGGCTGCAGATGTAATTTTTAAAAGGGAGGGATTGCAAGAGGAAATGATCCCCAAATCTTGGAGGCCTGGGAGCGATTTATAGGAGCGGTGTGAGTGACGCGTCTTTGAGCAGGGTTTCCTCTGGAGAAAAACTGTGGAAGGGAAACCTCCAACTCCCCCCATAATAGCTTTAAGGCTGTAATGATGTCATAGAGGAGAAAAGGAAAATGAAGCAAAGGCTTAACTTGTGAATGGGAGAGTATAAATGTCGATCCTGGAGGTCCGTGAGTCAAACTTCCTTGGAAACGCACACAGAACTGCCGATCGGAGGTTGCCAACATCCCCTCCCCCTCAGACCACCTGTGCCTTTGAAGGTTGCCGTGCACTCAAAAATCAAAAGAGGTTGCAGCCAATGTTCCCTCTAAGCTGTGGAGTTTTGTGAGCAAACATTCTACTTTGTGAGCTACTGGCATTAAAATTCTGAGCGAGCAATTTGGCTACTGCATAAGTTAGCTTGCTCTGGAACCATTCTTCCTGAGCTAGGACAAAAATGTGTGAGCTGGAGGCTAAAAAAACTGTGAGCTAGCTCACAATAACTCGGCTTAGAGGGAACACTGGTTGCAGCTTCTCCCATCATTCCATTTCTCTGCTGGGAAAAATGTCTCTGGGTGAGCAGATGCTCAAGGCACAAGAGCCCTGCCGGGGGGGGGGGAAGTTGGCAACCTCAGGGGCACAAATTCTACCCACACTTGCTTTGGAAGTAAGTCCCACGTCTGGTATCAGAGGGGCATTTGTCTGAGTAAAGAAGCTGAGGTTTTCTTGTGACTTTGGTCTTCCTAGAGTGTCACCTTCTTTCCTAGCTGCGCTCCTGTGTCTTTAAAAGCAGCCTGGTAGGCAGACATTTAGCACCTGACATTTCCCCCAATTAGAGCTGTGGGATTAATTAATTAATGGGGAGCTGCAGGGGAGCTGCGGTGGCTCAAGTGGTTAAGACACTGAACTGCAGACTGTAGAAGGTCAGTAGTTCAGCAGTTCAAGACCCGGGTGCCGCATGACGGAGTGAGCTCCCATCTCTAGTTCCAGCTCCTGCCAACCTAGCAGTTCGAAAGCAAGAAATTGCAAGTAGATAAATAGGTACCCCTTCGGTGGGAAGGTCACAGCGTTCCGTGCGCCTTGGTGTTTAGTCATGCCGGCCACATGACCACAGAAACGTCTTCGGACAGCGCTGGCTCTTCGGCTTTGAAACGGAGATGAGCACCGCAACCCTAGAGTCGGATTCGACTGGCTTTCGAGCAAGGGGACCTTTACCTTTACCTTTCCCCCCAATACTTGATTTAGGAAATACTTCGCAAGTGATTCAAATGTGGGATTTGCTGCCAGAGGATGCAGTGATGGCCACAGCCATAGATGGCTTTAAAGGGAGATTAGATAGATTCATGGAGGAGTGGTCTATCAGTGGCTACTAGCCATGGTGACTAAAGGGAACCTCCACATTCAGAGCCAGTCAGCCTCTGAATCCCAGAACCAGGTGGCAACATCAGGGGAAAACCTCGGCCTCTATGCCCTGTTGTTGGTCTTCCAGAAGAACTGGTTGACCACTGTGGGCGATTCTGCATCTAGCATTCGCTCCACATTTTCTCAACTGGGAGGGAAAAGTGCAGCTCAAAACGACATTCAAATACCTTGGGGCAATGCTGTACGGACTGCAAAGTCACCCCTGAGCAGCCATAAATCTATGAAGAAGGTACCATAAAATCCAATGATCAAAGGAAGCGAAAGCAGCCTGGAGGGTGGAGGCTACCATAAAATCCAATGGTCAAAGATTCTAACCCGACTACTCTGCAATTTCACGGAGTGCCCACGAGTTCTTGCATTGTGAGAAAGGGAGAAAAGTACCTCTTTCTATACCTTCTCTATCCCATGCATGAACTTATAAACCTCTTCCATGTCACCCCTCAGCAGTCTTTTCTCCAAGCGTTTTCACCTTTCCTCATAGGGAAAGCGTTCCAACCCTTTTATCATTCGAGTTGCCCTTTTCTGCACTTTCCCCAATGCCATAATATCCTTTTTGAGGTGTGGTGACCAGAACTGCACACAGTACTCCAAATGAGGTCGCACCATCGACTTATACAGGGACATGAGGATACTGGCTGATTAATCCAGCAACTTGAGTTTCTCTGCCCTCTCTTAGGCGAGTTAAACTTTTCCTCCAGACGGCAGTAGTAGCACCCGCCAGAGAGGGAGGAGGGGCGGTTTTCTCTCTCTCTCTTAGCCTCTCCTGTCAGAAAGGATCTACGACTTGGGGAAGGCAAAAAAAAAGGGAAGGGGAGAAAAAGAGAGAGAAACTGACTTGGAGATTTCGCAACTGCGCAGGGGGAAAGACTGTTACCAAGCTGGGGGGGGGGATGTCTCTGCTCAAGGCGAGAGTGGCATAAAAGCGCAGTTCTTCGACTCTCTACGCAAGATTCTCTAATATGACTGTGCTCGCTTCCGCCCGCTTCAAGGTTTGGGGTTTAAGGTAGCCGCGGAGGCGCAAGGATTTGCTATGTATGCCCGACTCCTGGTGCTGTTTCTGTCGCTTCGCGGTCTCCTGGGACAAACTATCCCGCACAGAGGTGAGTGGGTCAAACCCTCCTGTTTTTTCCCACCTCCGCCCGGGTTTTGTTGGGATCGGTTTGTCTTCCTTTAAAAAAAATCATCATCATCAGAAGGTGCGCTGGACGTTTTCCAAAGTCAACTGGAGTTGCGTGAACGGGCTTACCCCCGCGAGGGGGAGAGGAAATTGAATCGGGGAAGCAAGAGATTCTCTGGTGGGAGATAAGGCTGCCTTTTGCTGAAAGGTGATCATGCAGGGAATATTGGGTGCGCGTTGAAGGCAGGTCGCTCCAGAGACGCTTTTGGAGGTCGCGCGTTTGGAGCCCGGCCGCCCTCCCTGTTTTGAAAGTTTTCAGTCTGTCTGTTGCTGTCAGAGAATCGGAAAGACTCGCCGTGCCAGTGGCCCATGAAGTAAACGAAGAAGGAAAGGAGAGCCGGTGTGGTGTGGTGGTTAAGGTGTCAGACTAGGACTAGGATATGGGAGACCTGGGTTCGAATCCCCACTTGTGCCGTAGAAGCCTGCTGGGGGACTTTGGGCCACTCACAAACCCTCAGCCTTTACAATGTTCCCTCTAAGCTGACTTAGTGTGAGCCAACTCACAGTTTTTTTAGCTTCCGGCTCACACATTTTTATCTTGGCTCAGGAAGGAGGGCTGCAGAGCAATCTAATTCATGCGGTAGCCAAATCGCTCGCTCACAACTTTAATGCCTGTCGCTCACAAAGGAGAACTTTTGTTCACGGGACTCCACAGCTTAGAGGGAGCATTGCTCACAGGTGCCGCTGGACCCTTGTGTAGCCTCTGATCTGAATGTAAATATCTAGATGATCATTATTTAGTTAAATAAAACCCATTTCCGTTACAATTTGGACGGGCCATTGCCTTAAACTAAGGGTCTACAGGGAACTTCCTCTGTAAAAACTGATAGCAGATCCACGCTATACCCCAGCCTCTTCCTAGTTCTGCCTTTGTAGCTAATTCCCCAGTCAAAGCAAAGGCAAGATATTTATTTAAATAAAGCTGTCTTGGCGTGACACCTGCTCTTTTCTAGTGCTACCCCACAGGGTGGTTGTGAGGCTAAAACAGAGGCGAAGAGAACAACCCAGGCTGCTTTGGCAGGATGATGGTGATGTTGGGGAGGATGGAGGATTCAGGTGGGTGGCCGTGTTGGTCTAAAGCAGCAGGACAAAGTCTGAGTCCAGTGGCGCCTTTAAGACCATCAAAACTATAATTCTGGGTATAAGCTTTTGTGTGCATGCTTATAATACGAATAAAATTTTGTTGACATTAAAAGTGCCCCTGGGCGACAAAAACAACATAGGCTGCGGTCACACAGAGCATTAGCCACGCTACAGAGACGGAAGATAGGCGGATTTTCTGGGCGTGATCTCACCGCCACATCTGGGAAGCGTCGAGCTCCCGAGGCGAACCCGAGGCTTCCCGTGGAAGATGCGCGGTTAAAAACTAGTACCTCGGAGGTACTAGTTTCCAGTAACCGTGGGGCAAGGGCGGGCGTCTGATCGCGTTTCCGGTGGTAGTTCCAGCGCCTGCCCATGTCCCCTCGTATAAAGGTGTTTTTTTCCCAACTGTCCATGGGATGCGCACAAACACCCAACGGGGCATGCACATACTTTGGTGTCCGTTTGCCATGCCGCAGCCGCTTCTTTGCCACGGCGCAGGATTATGGTGTGCTCGGCACTTCCCCCCCTACATTGGGACCTCCATGGGACCTCCACGGGACCTCCACGGTACGTCTGCTGGTGCAACCACGCGTTATTTTGCCCCGGGGCAAACAGCCACGCTTCCCCCCCGCATTTTCCTGCCCGTGTGACCCAGGCCGTAATGTGTCTGTCCCCACTGGACTCCAATAAGAATAACAATAAGGTGTCTGTCCCCAACCACTTACATTATAAGGGAGGGAGGACAAGCTATTACCAGATCTGCATGAATCCGATGGCAGTTTAACACACACACCCAGTGGCATGTATTTAAGGGTGGAAAAGAGCCAGAGTCCAGCAGCACCTTAAAGACTGACACGATTTGTGGCAGGGGAGGAGCTTTCCCCGAGTCACCGCTCACTTCGTCAGAAGGAGAGCACGGAATGACTGGCAGGGTATGAGCTTTCCTGAGTCACCGGTCACTTCTTCAGTGATGACTCACGAAAGCTCACACCCTGCCACAAATCTTGTTAGTCTTTAAGGTGCTGCTGGACTCTGGCTTTTTTCCTCTCTCCTGCTACAGGCAGATGAAGCTGTGGTGGCTCAAGTGGTTAAGAGGCTGAACTGCAGACTGTAGAAGGTCGGTAGTTCAGCAGTTTGGGACCCGAGTGTGCCGCATGATGGAGTGAGCGCCTGTCTCTGGCCCCAGCTCCTGCCAACCTAGCAGTTCGAAAGCAAGAAATTGCAAGTAGATCAATAGGTACCGCTTTGGTGGGAAGGTAACAGCGTTCCATGCCCCTTGGTGTTTAGTCATGCCGGCCACATGACCACGGAAACATCTTCGGACAGCGCTGGCTCTTCGGCTTTGAAATGAGCTCTTCGGCTTTGAAATGAGATGAGCAGCGCAACCCTAGAGTCGGACTCGACTGGCTTTCGAGCAAGGGAACCTTTACCTTTTTACAGGCAGATGAACACGGCTACCCATCGTGATGCATTTAGGGGGGACAGGGAAAGTGTCCTTTCTTGGCGGCATTCAGGCCGGACTTCTCAAACTTCCCCTCCCTGCTTCCCCCCTCCACCACAGCTTGTTAGGGTTGCCATCAACTTCGGAGGGGGCCAAGAAAAGTCCCGCTAACGGAGGGGTGTCATTTAGCAGGTGACGTTGAGCTCCACACCATGAAAAGCTTCAGCTGCCTCATTCCAGGCATCCAACCTCTCCGCAGCGCGTCTCATTTGGTACTGACGGGTTTATCCTTTGCAATGTTTTTTAAACTCACAAATGTACAGCCGACAGGCTGTACTTCATGGTTGTTTCGCAGATAATTCGGAGGTGACAGAATCGAGCGATCTCAAGGCAGCGATCTTTGGGTCCAGAGTGTTTAGTGAGCTCCATATATCGAGCTGTTAGGTGTTGGCTGGGAGATCAAGGGCCCGATCCCATTAGCAGTGAGTAAAGCAGCGTACTGCCCTTGTGATCAAGCCCATCGAAATCAGCAGAGCTTGATTTCTGAGTTAACGCTCTTCAGGGTGAGCTGTAAATCCCAATGAGAGCAATGGACATGCAGTCTTGGAACATTTGAACTGAATATATGAGGCTGCCTTCTACTGAATCAGACCTGTGGTCCAACCAAGTCAGTATTGTCTACTCAGACTGGCAGCAGCTCTCCAGGGTCTCAGGCGGAGGTCTTTCACATCACCTGACGCCAGGAAGGGTTGCATCAGTGCTTAGTTCTAATGGCCCTTTCTTACATGCCCAATTTTTCTCCAGGCCCGTTTGGCCAGGGATCCTGGAGGGGTTTTTTTGCCCTCTTGTGGGCACATAGCAGGGGTCACTGGGTGTGTGTGTGGGGGGGGAGGTACTTGTGAATTTCCTGCATTGTGCAGGGGGTTGGACTAGATGACCCTGGAGGTCCCTTCCAGCTCCATGATTCTATGATCCTTTTAACTGGAGATGCCGGGGATTGAACCTGGGACCTTCTGCCTACCACTGAGCCTTTGGCATGCCCATGCTGTTGGCATAGGGGAATAGAGTGTGCAGGACTGCCCAAGAGCATTTGCATTTTGCAAAGTGTCTCCCCACCTGCCAATCAAAGCAATAGAAGTTGTACACATGAGTAGGCAGGTAAATCCCAGCCTTCCCTTGACGTGAACGAGCCAGGCTTTGCTCTTCTGCCACCTGAGATATCCCTGTAGATTCAAGGACAGGCAAAAGAGAATAACACCTGATGCATGCAGAATTAACTTGCGGAACTCACTGCCTCATGATGTAGTGCCGGAGAGTAGCTTAGATGGCTTTGAAAGAGGGTAAGACATGTGACTGGAGGAGGAGAGGTTCTTATGGTCATTAGCCACAATGGCTAAGTGGAACCTCCATGCTCAGAGGCAATGTGCCTCTAATGCCAGTTCCTGCAGGACAACAGAACAGAGAGGCTATGATTTGCACTGGTCTTTCCACTTGGCCACTGTGGGAAACAGAATACTAGCCTGAAAGGACCCGTGGGGTCACCCGGCATAAAAATTATTTTGCTCTTGTGCTGATACGAGGCTTGCCAACTCTAGGTCGGGAAATTCCACGAGATTTGGGGGGTGGATCCTGGAGAGGTCAGGGTTTGGGGAAAGGATGGACCTCGGCTGGGTATAACACCACAAAGCCCACTCTCCAAAGCGGCCATCTTCTCCAGGAGAATCGACCTCTGCCGTCTGGAGATCACTTGTGATTACGGGAGATCTCCAGGCCCCACCTGGAGGCTGGCAACCCTAGCTGATGCCGCGAGACAGAAGGCCAAGGGGGTGTGACGCTTGAGTAACTTGCTGGCTTCGGAGTAAGTGTCTAAACCCCCCCCCCCAGTGGGCTAGAGTGAACATAGGAACATAAGAGAAGCCGATGTTGGATCAGGCCAGTGGCCCATCTAGTCCAACACTCTGTCCCACAGTGGCCAGAAATACCAGGTGCCATCAGGAGGTCCAGCAGTGGGGCCAGCCTGCTAGGATCCTGACTCTGGCCATTTGCCAGGATGTTCCCGGTTCCCCCACAGGCCACATGGACCGTTCCCTTCGGCGGTGTTCACTTTGCCCTGCTTTATGGAAGCGTGACCTGGCTGCAGGGCACCGTTTGGCACTGTGGAATTCGCTTCCTGCGTGACCCTTCAGTATTTTCCTCCTCTGTCCGTGCCTTTCTTTGCGGGTTACCTTTAACCAGACGGGTTAATGTTTACTGGCTGATTGCCTCCTGCCTCTCTCGTCATTCTCCGGAACTGCCTTTGGCCAGGTTTTAAGACCAGCTAAAAATTCACCCCTAGACCCTGCAAGAATTAGTGCAGGAAGAGAGATGAAGGGCTGAAACTAGGCAAGACAGGAAGGATC